ATTCCTGGGTTTGACAAGGAAAATCCTGGATATTCCTGGGTTTGACAAGGAAAAGCCTCGGCATTCCTGGGTTTTACAGCAGGACAAGAGGCAAAGGCGATGAATCCCAAATTCCTGACTCGGAGTTGGACTGGGAACAGGGGTTGTGCTGGGAGCAGAACTAATGAAAGCTGATTAAAAGTAATTAACCCCCCCCAAAAATGCAAAAAAAATCACCTCGAAAAATACAAAAAATTGCGTTAAAAAAATATACCAAGAATTGTGCTAAAAATACAAAAAATCACCTTAAAAAACGCAAAAAATTCCATTAAAAATATACTGAAAATCGTGTTAAAAATTACCAAAATTACCAAAATATACCAAAAATCGTGTTAATAATACAAAAAATTCCATTTAAAAAATATACAAAAAATTGCGTTAAAAATACAAAAAGTTACCTTAAAAATGCAAAAAATTCCATTAAAAAAATATACCAAAAATCACATTAAAAATACAAAAAATTACTTTAAGAAAATATACTATAAATCGTGTTAAAAATACAAAAAATTACCTTAAAAAAATACCAAAAATCGCGTTAAAAATACAAAAAATTACCTTAAAAACGCACAAAATTCCATTAAAAAATATACTGAAAATCGTGTTAAAAAATACAAACAATTACCTTAAGAAAATATACTGAATATAGAGTTAAAAATAAAAAAAATTACCTTAAAAAATGCAAAAAATTCCATTAAAAAATATACCAAAAATCATGTTAAATTAAAAATATTAAAAATCACATTAAAAATATAAAAAACACATTAAAATACAAAAAAACACATTAAAAATATGAAAAATCACATTAAAAGTATACTGAAAAATCACGTTAAAAATACCAAAGAAAATTAAAAATACGAAAAGTCACATTAAAAATATTTTTAAAAATCTCATTAAAAAATACAAAAAATCACAAAAAAATACAAAAAATCACATTAAAAGATACAAAAAATCACAAAAAAATACAAAAAATCACATTAAAAAAATACAAAAAATCACATTAAAAAAATACAAAAAACCACATTAAAAAATACAAAGATAACACTAAAACCACAAAAAATTACATTAAAAATATAAAAAAGCACGTTAAAAATATACCAAAAAAACACGTTAAAAATACAAAAAAACCCCACATTAAAAATACAAAAAAATCATATTAAAAATATACCAAAAAATCACATTAAAAATACGAAAAATCACATTAAAAATATTTTAAAAATCACAAAAAAATACAAAAAAATCACATTAAAAAAAATTAAAAAAAAACCGCCTACGACGAAACAAGCCCCAAGTCACACGAAGCACCTCTGAAATAAGTTTCCCATGAGAAGCAGAAGCCCTGGGCCCTTTTTTCCCCCACTCACCTGTCCCTCTCTCTCTCCTTTCCTGAGGAACTTGCTGCCTTGGCCCCGGCTCCCTCGAGTTCGCTCGCACTGGAGAAGCCTGTACCTAAATTAGTCATATGAATGGGTCCATGCTATGAGCAGAAAAACACACGGCATTAGCAAAGCTACCTCTACAACACGAGCTCCAGCTCCTCACTGCCACTGCCAGGAACAACCCAACTCCTCACAGCACGGGGAGGAACCACTACAACCACCACAAACACCTTTCCTGCAGGAGGGCAAAGCTCAGAGTTTTCCTGCGTGGATTGACCTCCTCAGGCAGCTCATTCTGAGCTGGGCAGCCCACAGGGATCTGCCTGTTTTCTCTAAAACTCCTTCTTGCCTCCAGGCTAAGATTTTATTATTAGGGGTTCTGCCTGAGGCATCCCCATCAGGGAAACACTCCCTTTCCTCCCATAAAAAAAATACTGAAGAACTCAAAGTTAAGTTTTCTTAAAGTCATCTAACATTTGCTAGCTAAAAAAAAAAAAAAATAATCAAATAAATGAATCTTTTAAACTAAGCTCCTTGAAATCCTCTCAAGTGCAACCTGCAAGGAAGGGAAGTGGGAAAATCTGGGGGTTATTGCCACGTTTCCCCTCCCACTCCTTGAAACACTCACGAAAAAAAAAATCCACTAAGCCCCCAAATAATCTGGTTTTACATTAAAACAAGTCCCACACTGTTGTGGTCTCTGAGCTGAACAGGCAGCTCCAGTCTGGGTGAGGCTGGAAAGCAGCTGGGATGAGTTCAGGCCCAGCTTAGAGAGCAGTGAATCCACTCAGAGGCCCCAAAAGTGTGGCCCCCCCTGTTCTGGGATGACTGTTCTGGTCCCCCCCCTGTGCTGGTCCCCCCCTGTTCTGGGATGACTGTTCTGGTCCCCCCTGTGCTGGGATGACTGTTCTGGGATGACTGTTCTGGTCCCCCCTGTGCTGGGATGACTGTTCTGGGATGACTGTTCTGGTCCCCTCTGTTCTGGGATGACTGTTCTGGGATGACTGTTCTGGTCCCCCCTGTGCCTGGATGATTGTTCTGGTCCCCCCTGTTCTGAGATGATTGTTCTGGTCCCCCCCATTCTGGGATGACTGTTCTGGTCCCCCCTGTTCTGGGATGA